AGCAGCAGCAAAATCAGAATATATGATTCTTAAAAACCTGGTTAAAAAGTACACTACTACACTATGTTAATTTACAGTACATTAGATTAGAAACTAATCCAAAAATCGAATCTATTGAAATTCTAAAACAAAGACATTGTAAACATAGAACAATACAGAAATTAAACAAGTTTTAAGACGTACAGCAAAATGAAATAAACTAGTAGTAAAAATAAAAGAAAAGGCTTTGACGTGTCCCTAACTTAACATTAAACTCAACAATGAGACAACATAAACTATAGTAAAGGAGATTACCACCAGAAAACAAATAATATAAAAACATTGCTGAATAAAATAAATGAAATGAATAATAAAACAGAAAATGTAACAAAACATCCATATAACAAAGGTGTAGTGTATCACACAACAAACAAAAACAATTGATACAATTAGAGGCCTCTGAGTTTTTTGTTCTCTGGCACAGCTTTAGTGAAAAGAATAATAATTCAGGTACACTAGGTTAAAAAATTATTTATTAATACAACTAAACAACACACAACATAAACATAGTTACTCTATTTAAAAACTTACAAAAAGCCTACCATCCAGAAAACCCCAGACTGACACCAAGTATTCAAATCCTCTATGACACAGGTCCACAAGAGATAATCTGCCTGTTAAACCAACCGAATACGACCTACACTCTCTCTCTGTAATCTTCGATGTTATAAAGTGAAGTGGAAATGTTGATCCTACCCACTTACTGTACCAATACTGCATCAATAACTGTGACATTATTACTAACAAACATCCTCATTTGTGTAATTTTAATATTTAACCCGGGTTATAACAATAATATACTGTAGCCTATTATTCCCAATCTGAAACTGTACCGCCGATCCTATAGGCATATCAGGATGATATTTTAAGAAGACAAACACCATTAGCAAATTTAAAATGTTGGGCAACAGAAAATGTAAGAATAGAATAGAGAGCTTTATTTCAAATGTATTTTTGTATTGATGAAGAATCAATGTAATTCTCTGCTATGGTATAATTCTCTGGTTACACGTTCAGTGCTTTCAAATCACAGGCACCTTTAAAAACCTGCCCTTTCTAATTCTGCTGTGCATCAAGGTGTTTTTTTCTCAGATTTTACTGGAATTGTGGTGCCAGGTAGCAGCTTTGACCATACTGAGACCTGAAGTGTGAGTGAGACTGTGATTGTTTTTATCATTACTGTGTACACAGCCTTGAAGGCCTTCACCAAAACTACACCAAACTCTGTGCAGAAGTATCTCCTACAGTAAGTGTAAATTGCATTAAGCAGAGAAAATCTTGTAGACATGTAGTAAATGTAATTTGTGTTGGAGTAAATGGTGATATACCACATTTAAGGTTTGTAAATACATTTAGAGTTTACCATAGTATGGATGCATTATAAGGAGCCAGTTATGTAAGTGCAATGTGGAGAAATGTATTCTCATTACATTAATTAAAAATTAACAAGAATTAGGAGAAAATATTTTTTTAAATGTGATCATGTACATAGTCTATTGTATGCAGTGAATATAGCCACTATGTAAAATATATTTTATCTACCAGTGTCTCCTCAAAATATTTAAGTTTTTGTGAAAAGGTCTTTTTCTAGCAATTTGTGGCCAGAATACAACAATCTAAATGAAATCCTATAAACAGGCAGGTTGGTTCATCATGTACCAATGAACCTCTGAAAAAGACATTAATAGTCCACTTCAATACAGTTGTAATTTCAGTGGCATAAAAAAAATCAATTAAAATACTGGAAAGAGATCCCTGAAATTTACATAAAATGGAAGCAGGAGACAAATCCATTATTATTTTTTTTATTAACTTTTTCAATACTCTACAGCACATTTTTTCAAATAAAGCCCTTCTCAATAAGATAATAAAAGTACTTGGAAAATGACCATTAATTTGATGTAGTTCACGTTTCTTTTAATAATTACACACTTCACTTTGTGTTGGTCAACCTTTTAAAGCATAGCAGTCAACACAATTTTAAAATAAATCTACCACCTATGCATATTTCATCCACTCTTAGATTTTATTATTTCCAGAATTTAATGAATGACTTTTTTGTAGACTAAAAGATAACAAAGAGGCAAAGGAGATAACCTGCCACTCACAGGACTAAAATAGCTGATAAATAGAACACTAATTACAAAAAATAAATTAACTGAGGTGAATCAATTCAATTCAAAATACTTTATTCATCCCCGGGAGACAACCTTAACAGCAAGTGGTACAACATACGAGTCAAAATAAAATACAAAACAAAAAAAAAACATTGCTAAGAAAAATTGATATAACAGCAAACAGACCAGAGTGATTAAATTATTTAGGAAGGTATACATGCACATTTGTCAGGGGACGGAAGCTCTGTCCAACAGACATCATGTTGATAAGACTTCTTTGCAGTAAATGTTTGCAATCCTGATGGCCTCTGGAACAAAGCTACATTTAATTTTGTCTTGCACTGTGGAGAGTGAAAACGTCTTCCTGAAGACAAAAGTGCAAAAGAGTGATGTAGGATGCGAGATGATGACACAGGCCATCCTCACATACAGCTATGCCAGGGCTCACCAATAATTTTAGAGATGCAGCTTACAACATTTTGAAGGCAGTTATTATCATTCTGACTCAGTGACATGTACCAATAGAAAAGGAAAAGGTTGAAATACTTTTGATAAAAGACCTACAAAATGTTGACTGAATTCTTTTTTGACTCCATATAAGTGTTCTCGGCAAACTAAGTTTATCATCAAACACAATGCCCAGATATTTGTAATTGTGGACTACAACAACAGAATCACTGTGGAGTGTTATAGGATTTTTTTTAATCAACCATTTATTTTGTTTTTGACACATTCATCTCTAGGTATGAGGTATCACACCAGTTGACAAATTTGTCCAGAATGGGTCTATTTCTTTGTCCACACTGTCATCAGTAAACTTGATGCTTTTATAGTTCATGGTTCCTCCGACAGTCATTAGTATAGAAGTTGAAAAAGAGGGGAGAAGGAACACATAAACAACAGAAATAACATATTTGCAGTGTTTTTTCTGGAGTAAGTAGCTGTTGGACATCATTGAGTTGAGTGGAGAAATTATATTTTTGAAACGAGTAAAAAACTTGACTTGTCAGGTAGGGTCTGTCTGCTAATTCCATTCACTAGGATGAATTTACAACCCTGATTGACATCGACTGCTGCCACAGTCTTGCTAAAATGTCTCCTTGACTTTTTTTTCTAAATCATTTTTGCTTGCTGTATTGCATGTTTAACTTCTTTATTTACTTGTTTTCTTTCCTCAAATGATCCACAGGAGAACAGACTCTTCTTTTAATTCAGAATACTCTTGAGCTCTTTGGTGACCCAAGGATTATTATTTGGGTAGTGATGCTCTTGTAGATCCAAGATCTGTTCCATTATTTGAAGAAAATCAAAAATAACTGAACAGGTGTTTGGAAAATCATATGTAAGCCTTAAACAGCTATATTAACACTGCATTCTTTTTCACATGCTAATATCTTAATAGGAGGTAAAGTCCATGGACCACAGTCACTTAAATGGGATAGGCCAAAGCCTGGTTACCAATGTTTTAAAGTACATATATTTCCTTGTTTGGTACATTTAAGTTGAAATGGGTTAACAAATTAATAAAATAATCTAATAACTGAGCTTCCACAGAAAGTGAAAATGTTCCCATCAATTTTTATTGTTTTGACACTCAAAAGTCCACATTGTGACTTAATATCACATCCTTTGAGCATTTATAGTCTTATATAGTCATACAAGTATTCAGAATCTTCAAAGATGATGACTCTTCATCAAAGTCAAGGTGTAGCCACATCATGAGTGGTGAATTACAACCCATGACAAGTGGAAGCTCCAGGTAGTTACATTATGTCAACAACAGCAAGAAATTCTAGTCAAAGCAAGTAACACTAGTGTTTGCACACAGTCCAACTGAAGCACTGTGCACTTATGTGGCTGGTATTTGCTGACTGCCCAACGTTGTATATCCCCACTGTACTGAGGATCCAATGTAATGCATACTGTCCTGCTGCACATGCAGCAATTTTGTTAGATAACTCAATTGAGAGCAACGACAACTATTTGTTGGCATATTCATGAGCTTACTATTCATTTAATAAAGGCACAAGGACTTTGTGTGCCTGGTGCCTACTGTCAGATGAGCACACCTAGTGCCATGACAGTATACTAAAGTCACAGCTGATGTACACAGTGCCTTATCAGTGCACTTGTATCAAGTGATTAAATGTAGGGGGTCCTTGCCATCAGAGCTGGTGCCCAACATCTCTGGCACTGTTACAATGCACTGACAGTGAGCATTGATTAAGGGTGCACTCCACTGAACATGGTATTCAGTTAGTGTCTCTCCCCAGCAAATACAAGTGGTTACAAGGTGTCCTCAATTCACCCCTAGTTCACTGAATACTGTAGTCTGTATCACTAGTACAGCCGACTGGTACGGCCAGTGTAAACACTCACTTCCATTAGTGACTGTAGAAACATAACATTTCCACCACTTCAGTCCATAGCTTTCACCTGATGTAAATCCACCTATGCTGCAGCAGCACATAAAAGCAACAGCAATCCAGAAGGCAGAGAACAATTAAAAAACGTAAACCAATATGTCCTGAAAAACAGGAGTCACAGCAGGACACAGGTGTTCAGCAGTGAGCGGTAATAAGACTACTTCCAGGAAGTAATAACTACATTTTAAATTGAAAGGGAACTACGGTGTAAACAACACATTTTAAAAGATAAGATCACTTTATTGACTATACACAATTTCTTCTATTTGGAATTTGTTTTTTCACATACCCCAACTTGCTCTCCATGAGACACACAGACAGGGAGAGAAGCTTGGGGTCAGAGTGCAGGGTCAGCCATTTACAGTATACAGCGCCCCTGCAGCAGTTGGGGTTAAGGACCTTGGTCAGGGGCCCAACAGAGTAGGATTCCTCTGCTGGCCATAGGATATGAACCAGTAACCTTCCAGCCACAGGCATAGAGCCACCACCCCACTTTGTAAGTGGTAACTATTTACCACAAGTGCAGTCAGAATGTAATACTGTGATATGCATATCTTCTAGCCACTTATATTTTAAGCACAGGTACTAAATACTGGAGGTTCATCTCTGATTGTCAAAGAGGAACATTCCTCACCAATTACATTGTATGCAAGCTTCTGGAGGGACACAGAGTCACAATCCTGCTAAGAGCTGGGAGAACCCTGGCCATCTAATGACATGATTTGCTCTGTTGTGCTTAGTTAATTGTGTGCTGCTCTTTGGGGAATCTGTCAAATTTGTCATCTGTCATCATTAATATCATTAATTTCTTCTAAGCTTAGAAACTAATACAGTTTTAACTTCATACAATTGTGGTGCATGATTCAGAGAATTTAAAGTTCTTCAAATGTATAAATGCATAATATCTCACTTCACAGAATTAATTTTAAGAAAATTAGTTTGCCAGAACAAGCATACTAGAATTGGAATAGATGATGAAACATTAACAATTTCTTTAGTTTCTATTACTTGTCACATAAAATGCCAGCATTCCAAGAAAAGAAAGATGAAAGATCCCTGCTCTTATCCTCCCAGTGCCGTTGGATGCCGAGTCTTTGACTTTAGTTGCTGGATCTTTAAATAAAGAAATGACAAAAACCAAATGTTAATGACAGTTCGCACAGATATTTACTTTTTAAACATTTCAGAACTATGTTTGGGCTATTACCCAATGGTTAGCAATATTTAAAGTTTGTGATCATTCTTTACTTTTAATACTGTAATTTACAATACTCAAATTTTACTGGGGTTTATGTCAACTAATATTGGATGGGGTCTATCACATTTTACACATTTTGCAAAAGTACCTACTAGAGGAAATGATCGTATTGATCTATTCCAGTGGTAGCAATCTCTGGCACTTCCATGATATTGCAAGTCATAATCAAGAGATAAATTTCAATTATTAAAGTTACATTCAGCACATGGGTTAATTAGAACAAAGACTGCAAGAGGGGATCATTCTGTTCATTTATGTTTAAGTAGAAAATTGATCCAAGGATGTCATCCAGTCATTTCTTGTAGCAGCAGCAGCTTCAACAACCCAACCAGTTATCTTATTACATACTCCCAAAGCCCTTTGTCTAAAGATGTAACCCTGCTCTCAAATTTAAATATACGCTCTTAGAAATGTTGTGAAGCCAGAGGAGGAAAATTTAGCATTATCAATCTAGGACATTAGACAAACAGGAGGGGATCAAGATCTGACTATTGCAGCCACAGTACGTGACTTGACTATTTTTTCCTCCCCAAGAGTTTTCATCACAAATGGAGTTAGAAGTACTGGCCTTAAGTTACTGTGAGCTTTAGGTCACTTTTTTTTAGAAACAGGTACAACTGTAAAGTGTTTCTAAACAGCCAGAAGTCTGCCAGTGTCTTAAGAGAGCTGGAATAAGCTTTGAAAAATTCCACTCAGTTCTTCAGCACTGTACTTTACTGTTCTGCCGAATACACTGTCTGGACCTGCTGCTTTCTTAACATGGATTCTTTCAATTTAGTTTGTGACCATATAAGTTGACTTTTGGTCTGTTTTTCCTTAAACAAATATGGCTGGGGATCACAAGAGTCAAGTGGAGAAATTTTTACTTTTATAAATTATACTTTTTGAGTAAAAAAAGAAAATTAACTCATCAGGTAACATCTCTCCACTTGTCACCACTGGCAACTGTGAATCCTGCATTGTATCAGGAGATTCTAGAGGAGAATGTCAAGCCATCTGTCCAAAACCTGAAGGTGTACCGAATGTGGGTCAATGCAGCAAGACAACACTAAACATGCAAAAAGATCTACAAAGAATGACGAAGAAATTCTGTATTTTACAATGAATCAAAGTTCAGACCTAAACCCCATCAAAACTCTTAGTTGCAGTAATTGCTGTTCAAGGAGGAGCTCCCAGTTACTGAATCTAAAGGCTCACATATTGTACTTTGTCACACATAGATACTGAATGTCGTACCAAATTGTGTCTTTTGCATTTTCATATTTCAGCTTTATCTATTATTAGAACTTAGATTAAGATCCAATTACATTTTAGGTTTCAAATTTGTGAAACTACTGAAAGACAGACATACAAATGTTGAGCTTGAAGCAGAAATAAAAATACTTACAGGTCCATGTTGATGCCTTATTCTTATTTTCTAGAAAATGAGAAAAGGCCAAAAATGTAAGTGCCCTTCAAAGAGCAAAATCAGAAGTTATTTCCACCCATCCATTTTCTAACTGCTTCTTCCAATTCAAGGGTCATGGGAGAGTCAGGGCCTATCCCTTGCAAACAGTGAACATGAGGCAGGGTACACTCTGGATGGGACCCCATTCCATCACAGGGCAGACGGACAAAACAAAAATAACGCACTAGGGTCAGTTTTCCCAGAAGCCATTTAACCCATCAGTATGTTTCTGGACTGTGGGAGGAAACCCTACAGTCCATGTCAACACATGGAGACCATGCAAACTCCACCCAGATAACATCCCGAGTTCAGAATTGAACCCAAGGCCCCAGCGCTGTAAGGAAGTAAAAATAACCACAGCACCATGGTGCCACCTCGTAAGTCTCTTATGAATTTCTAAGTTTTGTAGGTTTTATTTTGGGGTAATTCCATGTATACACTTGACTATGACTAGTGACTACATCCACACCTTTAAGTACATTTCAGTGTAAACGTATTAAGTTGCATTTGACTTTGAGGCAATACCTGCAGGAATTTTGCAACCCACTGAGCTCACCAAGCTCTTGTGTTATCATTTGAATTGCTCAGCCAAGTCTTTGCTTGAGCTACTTTAAATTCTTGCCTAATTTTAGCAGATGATTTAACTAATCTGTATGTAAAATGAATTGTCAGTTAGAAGTAAATCTAGGGACTGACCTGGCCAGTCAACATTCCTTTTAATTAACTCCTTGGTTGCACAGTATTGCACTGCATGGTGAAGTACAGTACCACCAATAATTGTGGAACCATTTTCTGTTACATAAGCAGACAAAATGTTTCTGTAAACTTTAAAATTAATTTTGCTGCAGCTCAAGAGCCTTTGTAATTCTGCAGTCTCTCTTTCCTGCAAATTGTGGATTTTGAAATGTTTACCTTCATGCCTGCAATCTGAAGGTTGTTGGCAATTTCACCAAGATCTGTTTTAATGTTTTATTTGACAGCTCTGATAACTTTTTCTGTTATAGACTACAGAGGTTTTCCTTGACTGACCCATTTTTTGCAATTTACTTGTGGTTTCTTCCTTCAGTATATTTCAAATTCTAGCTTTTAGTACACCTAACTTATGTGCTTTGATTCTGACTGAGTCTCTTCTTCAAGTTTCAAAATTGTCTGCCTTTCTAAAACAAAGTTCTTTGAATGTGCTCTCCCATCACAGCATAAAGAACAGAAAGGGGGTCTTTCAAATCAAAACTTTTGCTTTAAATATTTGCCTTGCTTATTGTTACCGATTTAGAAACTCTACAATTCATTGGTCATGACAACACAGTTCTCTGAATTTGAAAAATAACCCCACAACACCTGACCATCAAGAGACACCCGTCAGACCATTGTTTCAGTACTATACTGTATGTCTACTATCCTCCTACAAAACAAAGAGCTTCAATACTATTAATTTCTTTATCCGATTCAGGAGTGTAGAAAAATTAACTGTTTTTACCCGTCATGCCTTTTCGATGAGTTCATAATTAAAATCACTTTCAATTAAAATAGACTTCACTATCCCAATATCTTTGGCAGGCACTACAGATGTACTGCATTATGCACTAGTAAGGCATAACTATGGATAACTTTTGTCACCATGTTGTGACATCCTTCCAGAGTAGGGATATCTGTTCAGATAAGCGCAAACTGATGCATTGTGAGGTTAAAGGGAGTGTTCTACATTAACTGGCTGAAGGAACTGAAACTTTCTACTTCATATCTAATTTAAAAATTATCTTCAATATAAGAACAGTTTTAAGAAAATCACTCACCTTTAACTTCAAGTTCAACTGTGAACTTTTTGTAATTCAAAATAGTACATATGTACTCGCCACTGTCTGAGGTATTCAAATTCTTTAATAAAAGGGAAAAATTTCCTTTTTTAACACCTTCAGGAGATAGACTTGTTCTATTTATGAAGTATTGGTCTTGTTCTGACAGGTCATCTTTTCCTTTACGGAATCTGTGCACAGTTCTGTCATTTAAAGACCAATATACAATTGTTTCTTCTGGGTTAAGTTGCCTGTCTTGGGAAGTGCATGGCAAAAGAGCAGATTGTCCTGATGTTCCATTGACCTGTGGAGAAGCTAAGCAAAATAAAAGCATTTAATTTGGCTGGGCAGTGAAAATAAAATAATTCTGTATTTTTGTTAAGATGTGCACAAAACATTTTAATTTAAACATTACTTAAAAACAAGTTTTTTCTTCCTTTTCCCCCACCTGAAGACTCTACAACCAAAATGCCTTTTCTTTCTACTTTTCTGTGTGACAATTTCTTTAATTACAAATATCAATAATATTAATATGCTTTAAATTACTGCTAGTGTCCAAAAGGATATTACGCTACCAAAAGAACAGGCATCTTGCTACTGCAACATAGTAATACTTTATAACTGTGTGATGTTAATGTTTCAAAATTAAAGGTATATTTATTACTATAAAATTTTAATAATTGGCATTCTCCAATAAAAGGTATATATGTTTGTTATTGAATTTAATACCTCATTTAGTTGCATGTTTAGTATAAAACACAAAAAATCATATCTTGAGAGAGAGAGCAAATTTGTAGTGACTACATGCATTGCATGAAAACTGCAGGAACTAGTAAGAACAGGTCATACCACAGTAAATTAAGCAACATAAAATAGTTAAACAAATTAACCATTTCTGTGTTGTAATACACAGAATGTATTGAACAATGTAATTAATTTATAAGATGGTTCAGGTAACTAACATAACTTCAGTAAAAAGGAAAGGCCATTAATTTGTCTGGTAAGAGAAAAAAAAATGAAATTGTCTTTAATAAACTAGATTATTTTCACAATAATTCCATCAGGCAAACTCTAGTTCTATTAAATATCACAGATTCAAACAACCTGTGCATTTAATGTGACATAAGGAAGTGGTCTTAAACACTGAAAATGTTAATAAGGAATATATACTGTACAGTGGATACTCATGGATAATGACGTTTTTTTTTAAAGACATACTGTATAATGGTATGCAATGAAAAGCAATCTCATAAATGAAATGTTTGTAGAGCAGGTCATCTAGTCAAAACATTTGCCATCATCCTGTTTACCCTCCCAGCTAAATGAAAAAAAAACAATCTACATACCTCCAACTGTGCTGGTCAGAAAGACAACAACAAGGGAAAACGTCAAATACCTGTAAAATGTAATAGAATATTTTTTAACACAATATATACTGTATACTACACTACTATTAAAATATAAATTGTGTGTCATGTGATTTCAACAATACACTGTACCTTGTATATTTCAACAAAGATTTGAGTTTGTTTTGAGACTTTTTAGTTATGAAACAGAAAATGAAAAAAGTTCATTTACTTGATCTACACTTACCAAGAAACAACTGCAGATCAAGTGAGCTACTGTATGCAGTCAGAATAGTTACAGTTTGTTACTATATGTTCATATACTGTAGGGTGGCTCTGGAAACCTTTATCATCAGAAATAGTACATATACTGTATGTTTGAAATGAGCTCCAGATGTTTTCTGGTTTTATTATTTAACAATGGTTAAACAGCAAACAGTTACATAAAGGAATGCAAAAACTACATTTATTACAATTCACAAACAGTACTGGCTTTAGAATAAGTACCACTCAACAACACAATCAAATACCCCTTTTCTCTTCTCCAACAGGATAATAATACCCACTGTTCCAACTCTTGTCATACCTTATTGATTACTATTTTCTGTAATTTTACTCACTTACAAGAGCTATGGCTGTTTCATGACAAGACTATGACTAGATCTGCTCTTTTTCGCTAAGAACTTGTGCCCTATCACACCTGCAATGCACATTGTCAAAAGTGTTCATTTAGATGTCTTAGGTTGACAATCTCCCACTGGAAATCAGATTAAGCGCCTGATTTCTCTACGGTACAACTGCACTTTTTTCTTTACCTCTACAATGATTTGCCACAATAACTTTGGCATAAGAGAACAGAAATTGGCAAGTTTAACATCTTCATTCACACACTAAAAAAAAAAAGAACTCCAAGGTGTCTATTTTTTATATTAATGTAGAACCTGAAAAAGAGGGGACACCTTGTGGACAGCTAGACCCACCACAGCCCCACAATTGCACTAGGCTTGTATCTCCAGTGACTTGAGGTTCTGCTCTTCTCTTTACACAGTTTAGTTCCATTACCCATTCCTGTTTAATTCAAGCTGCAGGCGTGGTGTTGCTACTAGTTTCCTTTAACAGCCACTTTTCTATCACTTGCATTCTAGCAATTGGTTGTGGATGTCTGTTTGCTAGAGACATGAATGGAGTTCCTCATCTTCAAAATTAATTAGTTTTGGATTCACTGTAAACCTCTGACACATGTCAATGTAATTGCAAACATGATTACATTAGGACTGTGTCAGAGGTTTAGAGTGAATCCAAAATGATACAGTGATCATACATTTTGGTGAAGCCAAATATAAATTCTCAATAATAAAGAAACAACAGAGATACTTGTTACAAATTACTACAAGATGTTCACATGTGGCTTAACTGTATACCGGCACAGCATCATGTAATGTAACTAAATTACACAAACAGCCCATGAAGATCACTTCCGTAACAGCATACATTAAGTGTGTCAAAAATTAGAAGATTAATGATACCGTTTTATCATATGTTTGAGTGAGAGGAGTAAATAAAGACATTCTGAGGTTTAGATGACCACATCACAAATATATCATTTATACTGTGACTCATTCATTATGATTTAGTTGTAATTTACCATAAACACATGGAATACTGTAATAACGCTAAAAATCCATCACAAACACGTCAAAATCCAATTTTCAAGCAGGCCAGCCTTTTTGTTCAATTTAAGTTCCATCTTCATGAATATGAGGTAAGAAGTTTGTTATAAATGAGATATAATTTTGTTCCACTGTATCCAAAAATCCAATGAATCATATACTGTATTATGTTAGCCACTGACACCCAGAATGTACTCCCAGCTTTACAACTTGTACTTTTAGGCTATAAATGTAAGGTTCTCCAGTCTAAGACCCTATATCTGCGATTGTCATATGTTCAAACTGAATTATACTGTTCAATCAGCTGTCAACTTCTAAAGAAAAAACACAAAAAACGGTAAATAGCAGTGAATTGGTGGGTGGGATTACAGGCACATCCTTTGAATGTCTACCACTAAATTAACTACACTAAAATTGAGGTACTTGTTATTCTTGGATTACCCACTTGTGCCAATCTGCAATATCATATTAATAAACAATGACTGATTTCAAGGGGAATGACAACACTATTTTTCTGATTTGCTTCTCTAAATGGGCAAATGTGCTACTCAATTTCTTCCAAGGGCTCTGCTGGTATAGCCTTTAAACGCATACTTATGCCGAATGCATTACCTACATCATATTCAGAGACAAACATTACACATTTAAAGGGTCAATGGTTACTTCTGCATTTCCTTGATCTACTATTCTGCATTATATCACAGTGTTTGAATCTTTGGACCCATATTCTATTTGCACACATAGGGTTAATGAAAACATGTTTACAAGGGATTAGCAGACCAAAAATGCTCCTTAATGTGCCTTTAGGTTTTCTAGTTTAAGACAAATTTATTGTTTAAATTACAGTTGTCCTTTCCCAAAATTTAAGAACAACATGTTAAAATACATTTATTTCAAACTTGCAAAAATAAGCCTTCAGCTGTTAAAAAATACAAAAGCAATATTACCATTTGCCACTTCTACATTAGACTTCAGCACATGAAAGTAAATTCTGAATTGCCATCTGGATATTCATTAAAAAAAGAAGATAGTTCTAGTTAATAAGCATGTTCACGTCAATACATCTATATCCTGTTATTACAATTGAAAATAACTATTGTCAGCATGCATTTCAGAGGTAGACTAAGGCTATATTTAACAAGTGTTGTGCTCCTTAATGATAAAAATATTCTCCCAATACTGCATTAGGGATTTTTTTGTTTATGCATTTTGAAAATTTATATCACTACACTTCAAATACAAAATGGGAGATACAGTACTCTTACTCATCATACTTCTTGTTTGCTCCTGTAGCAAAGAACACATGGTCTACAGGGTTTGAAAACAGTAGCACACAAATCTGAAAGAGACCTTATTTGACATGGGGGGAAAAAACAGGGTGATCCGATTGGCTGCTCAGTCTGACACCATGTGATTTGTCAGGTACAGGAGAACAGAAGCAGTTTTACAGCACTGCTCACCTTGTAAACATGCGTCAGGTCAGGACCACAGAAAAGCAAAGTTTAGTTCTTATTTGATCAATTATTATTACACTGTGATCACGAAAGAACTCTGCTGATCAACTTGGAGTTACCGAGTGGAATAAGGGAGTGAATGAGATTCTGGAGCGTGTAAGTAACATTTCTGTTTCTCACAGTCATTCCTGCCATGGGCCTACGGGTGTGAAGCAACTGGTGAGTGTTAATATTTGTTCAAAAGGTAATAATTAAACAGAAAATTATAGCGTTCAATGTTTTCAGTCAAGTTCGTATCTGGGGCAGGTCTGCAGTCTGAGCAGACGACACTGTTCATGCAGACATGTGAATACCTGCACTGGCAAAAACAATCTGTAGCCAACAGTGTAAATCATTGCACAGGAATGCAAACCTTCTGACAGCACCCTTCAGCGATGTGGGTCTCACCAGGCCTCCCAGCCTGTACAGATTACAGGGTAAGACTGCTTGTCTTTGAATATCAGGTACTGTAGCAGTTTCAACTACTAGGTAGGTACTGTAAACCAGGAGAGAAAAGCTGTTAAAACTTGTGTACTATGTCACCCAAGGTGGTGGTCAAATATGATTTTTAATGCCCACAAAGGGCCACCAACAAGTCTGAGATTTGCAGGCCATTACACAAACTTTCTGTTCCAACCTGTTTGACCAATTAGGCTCCAACTCTTAACATCATAGCTATAAAATTTATTTGTACTAACAGAAGGAACATTCTTAAAAATGGGGTTCCTGTGTCAATCAAGATGGCCACCTGACAGTTCTTTTCCCTGGTTGTCTATACGCGGTCCATAACACTATCTCCTGCTATACCTCCAATAGAACTAATATATTCTGATTCACACACCGTAAAATCCATGTCTGTTCCACAAGACCCCAGCACTAAATAAGACTAGGCCCACAACAGATTTGTGCGTGAAATACCAGCCTCATTGATCATTAAATACTGAATGTAATGTTGTGTACCTCTGGTGAACAGACACTATTAACTTGTTATACAAAAATAAACCAGGTGTGGAATATCACAGATTAACTTCCTTAGCTCTGTATATGTGTGGTTAAGTAGGGTCTAGTATGGTATTGGACAGTATTTTGCCTTGGCCATATTTTTTGAGCCAGCAGCCATTTCACCCTGCAGCTCTCAACTGGCTACCCACTGAAGTTAAGCAAGGTTGAGCCTGGTCAGTACCTGGATGGGAGACCTCCTAGGAAGCTACGGTCGCTGCTGGATTTGGTGTTTACCAGCCGGGCGTGCCCACCCTACAGTACGTGTGGGTCCTAATTACTCAGTATAGTTTGGTTTGGTTAGTTACTCAGTGTTGTTTGGGCCAAATTTCCAATATTTGGATAGCGCTTGCCCTGCGATGGACTGGTGCCAGGGTGTACCCTGCCTTGCGCTCGTTGCATGCCGGGTAGGATCTGGCTTCCCGCGACACCGTATGCTATAAAACGGTTTGGCAAATGACACATTTAGATTTCGAGTGATTGTCATGCTGCATATAAATATGCCAATAAATATGGAAACATTTGGAGACAAAGTGGTTCTGTAAACCATGCAGAACTATTCTGCTGCGGCCATCAGTAAAGAGGACTGAATCAGTTGTACAGACAGCTGCATGTCCAGGCCATGACATTATCCTCCACCACACTGTCTTGCATTTCCTCAGAAGTTAAAAGATAAGGAAAGAACAAAGTTTTATGGACAGTTGACACCAATATAAACCTTTACCAAAGTTTCTGAAAGGTTAAAGTGTGGAGAAAGAAAGGAACCAAAGAACTGTAGGCCACCCCCAGAACTGTCTCACTCATATTTATGGACAAAATTGATTCTGAATAATTTTGTACGGGACAATTATTTTGTTTTTCCTTCTCCTAGAAGTAAAGTTTCAGGCAGCTCTGCATGAGGATCCTGTGATGGTTTGGGTGAAGGCCCTCATGACTGTGACTCACACACAGTAATGGTGAGTTAACACTTACAATCTCACACACTGTGGAGCTCTGTGTGGCCAGCGCTGCTACACAACAATAATATCAGGATATCTCAAGAACAAGATATGTATTTAAAGGTGCGTTTGATCTGAAAGGAAAGACTAAATAATTGATGATCTGAGACCAGCGCCCTGGCCTGCTGATGAGATTGGCTGAGCTCTAGAAAGAGCAGCGAGACCAGGAGACAACACAAAACCAGCTCTTAATTTCCAGTAACTGTAAACCTACACGTCAAGATCAGACAGAGTTTGTAACACAAAGTATCTCCATCGCAAGATATTATTAAATTATCACTTAACAATTCTTGACTTTCCTACGTGCACCATGCCTTGGGCGGTGACCGGGGGAAGTCCGCTGGTTAAGAGTAAAAAGCCGCTCGTATTTATTTATCAATTTAATGAACGACAAAGAGCTTCGGAACTGACCGCCAGAGCTGTATCTATAACATTTATTTGATAAATATTCAGAAAGGATAGCAATAATGCAATAGTGTTCTGTTAAGAGACTACATTTAAGTATTTACTTAAAACTCTATTTACTTAGAAAACGAAACCAGTCCCAAAACCGTTATCAAGCTGCGTCATGTCGTACATGTTGGTACAGTATATACAGTATACCAATAAACCTGCTGGGCTACGCTATATAAATTAACGTAGCCTACACATTAACATTCCTTCTTAGGTTTATGAAGCGCAAGCGTTAAATATTGAGTGAATAACACGTCCAGTAGTAATGGTCTCAAACAATCCTTTGAACGTTCTACATAGGCTAAAGCAGTAAAAGCGTATTGCTGTAGAAGTTAAGCCACCAACATATGAAAAAAAAGTATTCTTTCAGGACAACAACCTACCTTATGATCATTTTATTAACTTATTTCCTTTCAGCTTTCAAGAGAGCTCAGTGGATCAGCACCGCCAAGTACCTTTCTGTGACCGACCGTCACCCCGAGAAGTGATTGGATGATCTTTCGGGTTCAGCCCTGCTTTCGTGACGGTTTGGCAATGGACGTCCAATCAAACTCTCATCCTATACAGGCTATTTATAGGCTAAAAGACCAACCGTGCTGCAGGCTAACGAAACATGTAGACGAAACATGTAGTCTTTCTGGTGATGGATGGACGTGTGTTATTCATGTGTGTAATTGTGCCAGTTTTAATATATGATGTACTAGGTCACAGAGCGGATCAATCCGCTGTAAACTTCCCGGAAGTAAGCTGCCTATCTTGTGATGATGAGCTCTTCCTCGTCTCCCAACACAGCAGGAACTTCAGCACGAGTTGTGCTTAAAAAAAGCCAGAAAGCACAGAAACTAGTGACGTTAAGAAACTAAGTCACCATGGGAAACACTCGAAAATATTTAACTCTTTGAATTAGTCATTCTAAGGATCGTTTGGAGTGATAGTAAAGTCCTTATTTAGTCCTTATTTGTGACCTGTGTGATAAATTCTCTTATATCCAGCTCCACTACAGTACAATACAAAACAAGATGGAGAATGAAAGGGATGTGGACAGAGACTGATCCCTAATAAAATACCTGAGAAAGATTAAGTTCCTGAACTTAAGCTGAGACAAACCTGTTGAGAACAGCCTGGAGGTGGCTGTAGGGGCTTTCGCATGGCACAAGCTTCAAGTTCCAACTCCTCCGGAATCTTCTCTCTTTCTCTCCTTCTTCCCTACTTCTTATTTCTCCTTCCTTCTTCCCTGTCGTCTTAATGTGATCTTATATTGTGTATTTCTGTACTGCTCCTTGACAGTCATTAACCCACAACTTACCTAGGTATACTAAGGTAAACTTAACATTTGTTTCTGCTCAAGGGACCCTCCAGACCTCAGCATCCTCTTTATTTTGAAACTAAAAGTGTTTACTCTGCCAAGTGCCACAAACTTGATCTAAGGTTACAACTTTATCTTGGTGACAGTTGTCACCAATATAAACCTTTACCATAGTTTCTGAAAAGTTAAAGTGTGGAGAAAGAAAGGAACCAAAGAACTGTAGGCCACTTCCAGAACTGGCTTACTCATATTTATGGACAAACAATTGATTCTTAATTATTTTGTACAGGACAACCATGTTTTTCCTCAGGAAACCATTAACACTGTTTTCTCCTAGAAGTAAAATTTCAGGCAGCTCTGCATGAGGATCCTGTGATGGTTTGGGTGAAGGCCCTCATGGCTGTGACTCACACACAGTAATGGTGTGTTAACACTTACAATCTCACACACTATGGAGCTCTGTGTGGCCTGCGCTGCGATATGACACAATAATGTCAGGACATCTCAAGAGCATAATATGTATTTAAAGGTGCATTTGATCTGAAAGGAAAGACTAAATAATAGATGATCTGAGATCAGTGCCTTGAACTCCAGAAAGAGCAGCGAGACCAGGAGACAACACAAAACCAGCTCTTAATTTCCAGTAACTGTAAACCTACACGTCAAGATCAGACAGTTTGTATCACAAAGTATCTCCATCGCAAGATATTAGTAAATTAACAGTTATAAATTCTTGACTTTCCTACGTGCACCATGCCTTGGGCGGTGATCGGGGGAAGTCTGCTGGTTAAGAGTGGAAAGATGGTTGTAGAGTCATTATTTATCAATTTAATGAACGACAAAGAGCTTCTGAACTGCCGGCCAGAGCTAAATCTATAACATTTCTTTTATACATAGCAATAATGTTGTGTTCAGACACTACGTTTAAGTATTTACCGCTTAGAAAACGAAACCAGTCATTATGCTGAAATGTCCCGAAACCGACTGCGTCAGGTCGTATATATACACCAATAAACCGTCTGAGGATTATTATTTAAGCACTAAAAATGAAAATACCTTACACATTTACATTCTTACCCAAGTTTATTTAACACACCCACAAAACGGCGTTAAATATTGAGTGATTAGTAGTAATAATCTCAGACAATATTTTGAACGTTTTACGTTCACTAAGGTAGTAAAAGCGTATTGCTGTTGAAGATCAGCCACCACAAATATGAAAGAATTTGAATATATTTTCATGACAACTGTACAGCACCCTACCTTATGATTATCTTATTAACTTGTTTCTTTTCAGCTTTCAGGAGAGTTTACTTGACCAGCAAGGCAAAGTGTCCTTCTGTGACTGACTCAAGAGAAGGACCAAAATACTCAGCTGGCTCTGTGGTTGTATGAGCTGTGTTACAGTGTCATAGAGGTCTCCTCAGCTCAGGAAAATAGCCTCTTATCTGAAATCCACCTACACTACCGTACAATAAAAGCAAGATGGAGAATCAGAGGGGTGTGGACAGAGACTGATCCCTGATAGAATACCTGGGGGAGAGCTGCTGAGAATAGCCTGGAGGTGGAGACAGGCCAACACAGGCATCGCTCGTGTCCCATGTAGGGTCAGAGGAGCCAGAGCTAATCACAGGTTGGCAGCACCTTCTTTCCCACACTTAATAACTGGGCTCCCAGCTCAGCAAGAAACCACAGTGAGACTTGCTCTAGGAGCATCTGGAGAGACAGCTGATCTGGCATCTGAATTAATAACATCAGGGCCACAGTCTGAATTACTGTTTTGCCTGTATGAATATTTAAGCAATAAGGCACGAGAAGCTGTGCTATATCGTGAATATAGTCACAGTTAAAAGGCATTGTTAGGTCTTTAAATATATAATTTATATTATAAATTCTGGGTGTCGATTGATAAGTTTATCCCCAGTTTTACAATTTGCAAAGAAAGCAGAGGCAATTTTAGGTGATAAATGTAGGGTTCCCAGTCTATGACTGTGTATCTGAATTTAATATGTTCCATTTGAATTGTATTATTCTTTCAGATGTCAATTTCTAAAGAGAAATACAAAGAAGCCAGGTAAATAGCAGTGAATTTTTGGTTGGTGGCGTTACAGGCACATCCATCCACAATTCTCTACTAAGTCATTATGCCACTTAATATTAAGTACTGTAGTCATTTGTTTTTTCTTGGTTTATACTTTGATTACCCATTTGTGCCAGTCTGCAGTATTACAGCATATTATTAAAGAATGTTGCAGGTATAAAATGTCAAATTCCAAGAGGAACATCAAGACAATGATTGTTTTGCCTCTCTTAAGAAATGCTACTCAATTTCTTCCAAGGGTTGTGCTGGTACAGCCTTTCAATGCATACTTATGCCAAATATATGGTATGACCTAAAACACATCATCCTAAGACAAACCTTTCACAAACGTTTAAGCGTCAATGGTTTCTTCAACATTTCACTGACCTGCTGTTCTGCCTTTTATACATCACCTTCACAGTGTTAGCATCTTTAGAACCATGTGTTCTGGGTCCTGTACTAAAAAATGCAGTTCCAGCACTGACTGGGTTATGGAAAGCATGCTTACAATTTGCAAGAAAAAAATGCTTCTTCATGTGGCTTTATTTTTTCGTTGAAGACAAATTTATCATTCAAATTAGTTTCCTATATCTAAGGAGAGAATGTGAAGTTAAAATATATTTACATGAGTTCATTTACATTTGAAACTAGCAATAAATTAATCATTCAGCTGTAAAAATGATTAAAGTAATACTTGACTTCAGTACAAGAACGTAAATTTTGTATTGCTGTCAGGAACTGCATTTAAAAAAAATGTAGTTCTGTTGATAAAGGAGCATATTCGGGCAAGTATCTATATCCTGTTATTACAATTGAAAACAAATCAGTATCAGGAGTATTTCAGAGGTGGTCTTAGGGTATACTGTTTTTATCAATTGGAGTGCTCCTTAATCACAAAATATACTCCCAGTTCTGTATTATGCATTATGAAAATCTATTTCACTACATTTCAAGTATAAAATAGTGGATGTATAGGCTTAGGCTTGAATGAAGTTTAAAGATCCATACTGTACCTGTTGTCCATTGTTTTCAGAATAATCTTTCAGCTAATACAGCTCCAGTTCTTGGATTTTTACTCTTTGGTTCTGCCTCTTGATTTAGAAGGCAGAGGCTAAGATGAAGTCTTGGAAGTTGTCTATGTTGGAAAAGCAAGCCATTGTGAAGATGAGAGCAAAAAAATCCAATTAGAACCACTGAAGAGAGTGGGCATCACAAAACCAACAACATGGAATGTCTTGACAAAGAAAAACTGCTGGAGTAAGCAATCAGCAAAGACAAAGTTGTTCAATGAAGACGTCAGTTGATGATAGAAAAATCATTAAAGATGTGAAGAGAATTTCCTAAAATAACAGCTAAAGAGAGTATTTCAATTCACAATGCACTACATAGCTTCTCTTTTGCATGCTGCAAAAATGCCAGGTAAGAATATGCAAAAAACTGGTCTTCAACTATTCTTACCAGTGTGAAATGACATCCATACTGTAAAACAACCCTTTTTTCCCCCTATTAATTTTAATGGAAAATTACTTCCAACTTTAAATATTTTTACATAACAAAAAGGTTTTTGGGAGTACACCTATGATGTTACTGTATGTAAATATTTTTTTTCTTTCGTAACTGCCATATAACTTTGATATTGGGAGAGGTGAATTATTTTTAGTATCCAATAATATTGAATTAATGTTTTTGAATTTTAGGTTATTTTTCCCCTCTTTCCCCCCTTTCTCTCTGGTACTACACCCTCCTGACAAACTGGAAAAGAATATTTGCTCATTTGCAGACTTATTTCCCATTTGCACTTATAATACTTAATTTTGTGATGACTGGCAACTATTTCTCATCATTTTTGTATGTCAAAAAAAGAAAACTGACACATGTTGAATACATAAAAATGGCTCACTGGGGTAATTTTGTGCACTTCAATTAGTTTGCCATAGCAAAGTGTCTGAATATGTGCATAAAACAAATAAATAATTCAGAGTGGCAACTGGAAGATTTGAAGCAACAAAAAAAATTGTGAAAATTGTGCAACTGAAAATTACTAGTGAAACACTGATTCCTAAAATAGGGAAAAGGAGGATCATCTGTATGAATGAAACTAGGGGTCACTTAGTTA